GCACTTACGATTCGGGAAGTAATAAATATGCATATAAATCTCAATCTAAAGAAGATTTTTTTAAACTATTATTTATAATTACTTAAACTATAAACACTCAACATACTGCAGAACTCGCCCATCTGTTGAAGAATAAGAGAAGTATTTTTGCCATCATCGGATATTTTATCCCAAAATTATTTTTTTAAAAAATTTCTTCAACAAATATGGAGAAATTTGAGAATAACGGATAAACAGGAGATAGTCGTAAAATACAGGAGTCTTTGTTGAAAAACTGGAGACTTGGGCAGGTATGCAACTCTTATTTTACAATAAAAATACAAAAAAAATTTTGATTTCGATTCAAATGATACAAGAATATTATTTGAATAACTGTTGCAGAAATAACTTAAGATAAGAAAATTAAAATGGGGAAGGTTTGCTAAAGAAACTGATTAGGTAACTTTTTAAAATTATAATTTTACATTTTTTCAAATGCAACTTTTTAAAACAACATCTGCGGTACAATGAGTGTTTTCTTTTTACTCCTACAAGCTTCAACATGAAATAGTAATTTAGAAACAAATAGTAATTTAACACTAAAAAATCATGTATAATTAATTAGACAAAATATATACATACTTTAAAGTCGAATAAAAAAGTAATTGAAATGGAATATCAACTAATAATTAGTTTGTGAAGTACACAAGATAAACTTAACTTTATTAAGTTACAACATAGCACTACAAGCAATCCAATGACCAAGGTCTTCCTTTCCCCACCCCCCTTTTGTTATTGTTATGTTTTCGTACCATTGGTAGATGTTAAGAACAAAGTTCAGTAGTTTGTTTGTTTTATTTGAGAAAATTTTATTTAGCCCACCCGTTACAAATCTATATCTCTGAAATGATTTTATTATTATCTTTAGAGGGGGATTGTTAATTAACCCCTTGACATACGAAGACGTCTGGGAGACGTCATTTGTTTCTTATGTCAAAACAATATTTGACGTGTCTCAGACGTCTTCAACACAGAGATGCCAACTTGCTCCGGACAGCAAATAAATATTTTAAATTGGTAGTTTATCAATTGCGATTCTTGGTTTAATAAATTCAATTTGGTAGATTTTTACCCACCAGTATCTCTAAATAACTTGTAGGCTTATATAATTCACCACTTTATAACTGTTATGTCATGCTATACTTTTTAAAAAGCAAGCAAAAATAGTCAAATATTTGAAAATTTAGTTTGCAGTTATTTACCGTTTTTTAAAAATTATTTTGGCATGTCCGGAGCAGTTGGCATTTCTGTCAACAATCCGCTGCGAGTTGTTATTTACAGTGCAATCAAAGATCATTTCTATATCAAGAAATTAATTATTCCGCACAGTTTAGTTTTAAAATGATAAGTCAAGGTGTAAAAATTGCTAAAACAAATCAAAAATAGGGTTAATAAATTCTTACTTTATTTAAATTGCTTAAACTTTATAAAAGTCATTTGCTCTTATTTACTCTTTGATCAATATTTTTTTAATTTATCTCATTTAATTTATAAAAGTGCATTGTGCTCCCTTCTAATTATAAAATGCAAGAGGAACATATTTAAAATAATTACCTTTAAAAGTGTGCAGTCTTCTGAGTGATGTACATAATAATGTTCTTTTGCTTGTTTTTTTGCGTGTAAAAGATATAAGTTTTTATCAAAAATTAAATTTGAAAATAAATAAAATAAATTTTTAAATTAAAAAGAAAACAAGTAATAAGAAAAGAATAATTATAAAATCTATTTTATTCGAAATCTCACCTTATTGGATTAATATATATATGAAACAAAAGAAATCAATTAACTAATACTTTTATAAAATTGAACAAATGTCATGATTTGCAAAGAAAAAAAATTGTACCAAAAATTAACAGCAATACAAAAATAATAATAATGAAAAAAACTTAACACTGTTCAAGATATAACCATATTTTAAATATTTAAAAGCACTCTTAATATTGAATAATAATAACAAAATGAAACATTAATATATGTATATAAAAATGCATACATATATAGCGCAAATGAAAAACCACAATAAAAAACATTTATACCGACTCTTGAAAATGTTATATGCTTAATTACTAGCTTTAACAATGAATCTGTTTGAGTTTAAATAAAATGATACTTAAGTCATTCTATTAATTATGTTATTCTAAATTTGTAGAAACAAAGTCAAGTAGAAGTGCATGAGAAGAAAAAGAACATAAAATTTAACATCCTAAATAACTTTTGATCTAATGATCAGATTTTTGCGTACTAAGACTCAATCTGAATGGTTTGATTGAGTGAAACTAAATATTCTAATTAATTAGTGTCAATGATATTTTAAGTTAAAAAAAATCACACACAAAAACATACTTTCTTTGAATAAATATATCTTTTCTTTTCCTGACGGACTTGAATTCCTGGACTTCTGCAATCTGTGAAATATGATCCCAAAAGCTTAGTTGGGACAGCAGTAAAAAATTTGGACCCTTTAATCTAAATCTTAATTTCATTTTGATTCGTGTATTTTGCCATATCTTGGGACTTTTTTGAGCAAATCGAAATTTTTTTGCACAATTATTAAATTTGTTTACACAAATTAATTTCCATGCAAAAAATTATTCACAAAATTTAAAATTTGAGCGAAATTGGTGGAACAGTTATTGAAAAATCAAATTTTATGAAAGTGATATATTTAAAATTCAATTTCTCAGGAACTATTTAACTGATTTTGTTCAAATGTTGTATTTTGCCATATAAAATTACATTCTTTATAGTCATGTAAAAGTTTGTATACCTTGCAATTTAAAACTTTTTGACTGACATCAAATAAAATAAAAAATAATTTTTTGCTTGGAACGATTTCTGGATAAACAAATTTTATAATAGGGAGCTAAAATTTTTCAATGCACTTAGAAAGTTCCTGAGATATGGCGAAATATTGCAAAAAAAGAAAATTAATTTTAAGGGGTTCAAACTTCGGACTGCTCTGCTAGCCATATTTTGAGGAAAGTAATCAAAATAAATCGTAAAAAGGTATGTTTGTTCAGAAAAAGTACGTTTTTGTGTCATGCGGTAATTAATTAGCATATTTGAGGTCACCCCAACAAATCATTGAGTCTAAGTACATAAAAATCTAATCTTAGAACAAAAGTTCTAGAGGGTGCTTTTTTTTTTAATTTACTGTACATATGAACTTACAAAATAGAACTGAAGAACAAAATCACATGCTGCAATCAATCTACTATTTCAGGTGTACAATTTAAACAAACAAAAAATGAAAAAGAAAACATTGCTACTAAATGAATACTTAATTCAATGGAGACCATCTACTATGTATTGTTTTAGTTTAATTGAGAGCAGTTTTATTAAAAATAATACTAAATAATTTTTATTAAACAGTAATGAAACTAGTAAACTGTCCCAAAATATTTTTTTATTCCCTGCTTATAAACAGAATAGAATACTTAGAGGACATAAAAATCATTGTTTTGAAGAAAAAATAATGAAAAAAAGAAAATGAAAAAAAAAAAATCAATTCAAATCGTTGGANAAAAAAAAAAAAAAAAAAAAAAAAAAAAAAAAAAAAAAAAAAACTTTATTCCAAACTAAAAAAAAAATCTTTTAATTGACTTTTAATTGCTTTTTAGTCTTTTGAAAACAAGGAACACATTTCACGTAAATTTGGTTTTGAAAACTAATGGCATATTAGTTTTTTGCTTTATTAAGAATGTCTCTTTAATAGGTTCATTTTACAAAAAATATGTACAATCTATATAAAACGTAACTTTATACACAACAATTAAAGATATTAGAAAACTTATGTTTGATTTGTGGTATGGAAAAATTTGATATAGAATAGTAATCAGGTGAAGTAAATACAAGATTTATTTTCGAATAGATTAAAGAGAATTTCTTAGACAATTTAGAAAAAAAATTGCATCATATTACCCCAGCAATCTTTGCGAATTTGGCCAAATCTTATAGATATACTTATTTTCATTTGCATACATTGCAATTATTCCTTAACTATAAGTCACATTCATTAGTTTATATACAGTAAATACTAGAAATGTTTATTAAAACCTTATTCATTTAAAACAAATTTATAATTCAGAATAATTTTAAATTATTAGCTTAAAAAATTTGTTTATTAAAGATGATGAATTTAAATGCTTATCTTCTTACTCTTTGCAATTCTGAACATAAAAACTCATATTTTGAGCAGCAAACTAATTTTCTCTCGGTAGAAATACCATAAAACAATAAAACATTACAGAGTAATGTTAATTAGTAATAAAACGAATCAGGGTTAAACATTTTGTCAGCTTTGCTGCAAAAAATAATTTAAGCATTTCTTACATTACATAAATACATTACAAAAAAACTACATAAAAAAAGAACTTTTAGGTGTTTACTAGACAATCAATAACTTGTGCTACAAAAGATAAGCTAAAAGAAGATTCAGTTTTATAAATATATTTCACAATCATAAAGAGGTCAGGACTCTTACAATTTGTAAACCCAATATGATTAAAAAATATAAAAGGTGACTAAAAATAATAATTAAAAAATTAGCATAATTTGTAAACACTGCTAAATTGCAAATATTTTTCTCTATCCTCAAAAAGTAATACAGCAGTGACTTTACTTATGATATATTCTTGAGTATACTCAAAGAAGATTATCCCCAATAAAACCTTAACCTTTATATCAACAAGAAGTCTACTTTAGTTAATTTCCTAACAAAACATTTCATTGAGATATTTGTTTACAATTTGGTTATTATTATTAATTTTAAAATATTGTAATAATAGAACACTAATGTATTTAGTTGTGAAACAAGTAGAAATTGTGGTTGTTGATACAAGAATTTATACTGCTAAAATCAATTAAGATAAAATCCTCTATCCTGAAAAAATAGTACAGTAATGACTTTACTTATGATATATTCTTGAATATAACCAAAGAAGAATATCCCCAATAAAAACTTAACCTTTATAACAACAAGAAGTTTACTTTAGTTAATTTCCTAACAAAACATTTCATTGAAATATTTGTTTGCTGTTTGGTTCTTATTATTTTTTTAAATAATGTAATAATAGAATACTAATGTATACAGTTGTGAAACAAGTAGAAATTATAACAAGATATTGATACAAGAGTTTATACTGCTAAAATCAGTTAAGATAAAATAAAAATGACTAAATGCTTATTTTTCTGGAATTCCCAGCAAAAATATAAAAAGAGAGAAACCACACGTACGTATAACATTCAATATCTACCCGCAACATAATTAAACTGATTTATTGGCCTCTTCCTCTGTTTCTTTAGAGCGCAAAGTAGCAACTTCAACAGCTGTCATGAGAGAACCTCGGAAGCAATTTTTCTCCAATTCATGAATACCCCTGATTGTAGCACCACCAGGAGATATAACCTGATCCTTTAAAAGCCCAGGATGCTGACCAGTCTCTATAACCATTTTTGCTGCTCCCTAAATTGACGGAAGAGTTTCTTTAGAAAAACATTAAACTCATTAAGGTTAGATATACTCTTCATGTCATTAAAACAGTACAAATATAAATTAATTAGCTTTCATCCTACTCAAATTTAGAAGAAAGATAAAAATTAATTGAGTGACTCTTACGGGATTTGAGAAATTAATCTGAGCATTTTAAAATATACATTAAGGATAAGAAGAAATACATATCTTTTTTTGAAAATAAAATTGTTAAAAAACTTAACCAAAGGAATTATAATTACACAGTTGTTCCTAATTCATAAGCTTGCAAATTACATGCTAAATTAAGTGCCAAAACAGTTTTAAGAATTAAAAAATGACGGCATAATAAAAAAAAAATGTACCTCAATAAACAAGTTTCCAGTCGAATAACTAACTTCAATGAATAGGAAAAAAATTAATAACTTAATTTATTAGAAGTGCAATGAATAAAATTGCAATTATTACTCTTTTTAAAAATATTAGTATTGAGCATATTTTGCATTTGTAGGCACAGTTTAAAGTTTTGATTATAATTTCTGAATATATTTCTTTAATATGGCAAATAACAATGTTAAACTATGTTTTAATAACAGTGCAATATTAATTTTCAAATACAATAATAATGTTTAAAACTCACAAGTACTGTATGTGCAGCTAATTTCAAAGCTACACTTTTTAGTAAACCCATTTTGACACCTCCATCAGCAATAGCTTCAATTGCCATCAGTACCTAAAATTTAATAATGACAATTATGGAAAATTGTTTTTCTTCCTACTAAATTTCAGAGCAAAATAAATTACATTCAAAAGACATTATACCTGCTTAGACACCAGTACAAAGACAACAAGTAGAATTTTTAATAGTGAAAAAATTCAGTCATTTAAAAACAGTATTATTCAATTAAACTAAACACAAAAGAAAATTTTTTTTTTTAACAAAAATCTTAAAATCAAAGCAATGAACTTTGCTAGTTCATTAACATGCGATTTGATAGAAATTGTCTAGATTTAAAAAAAATATTAAAAACCTACATACTGATAATGTTACTTAGTTCAGGTAGAGAAAAATGAAATATCAATTAGCCCATTACTATCTTCTCTTTTTCATCAGACTGCGTAGATTTTATCAAAATGTTTAGGCAAGCTAACTGAGCCTTTTGCACTTCTCATGTAAAACAGTACATAAATATCTCTTTTTCATTGAATAAAGGTAAAATTTTTGGTGAAAGTATTGTTTTAGACTCAGTAGAATAAAGTAATTTAATAAAATATTTTGAAAACAGCTAAGTAAGTTTTGAAGCCAGATGAAATATTTGAAACTATAAAGAGAATATTTAAAATATACCAGCTTTTCTTTTTCATCATGCATTTTTTTTCCTCTAAAAATTTCAATCAAATAAATTTTCGAATGACTTAATTGCAACATGGCATTGGCAATAATAATGGTATTAACAATAGTGGGTAAATTAACACTTTCGTAACATTGCACCAGTGTTTCAGAAAATGGTTCAGTGTTTCAGTTCTAAAAAAATTACTATTGATCATGCATTTTCTACTTTTAAATGTCCATAATATAAATATTTAATAAACTGCAATGGAACATAATTTTGTTTTACACAAAAGAAAGTAACACGTTGAAGAATATTTGTAGTTGATACTTAATACTTCCACTTATTTATGAATTATAATCTAAGCACTTACAGCATGAATGCTTATTTATGCAAGAGATCACATGAGTAATACAAAACAACTCTGTAAATGACGCTCATTAATGAATACTCTTTTTTTAATGACATCTAATATTCTCTGATTTATACTTAAAATAGGAAATTGTCAATGTAGGTGTGAATGTCATTTTTTTTTTTTGACAAATTAACGCTAGGCATATCTGAATGTTTACATAAATATGCATTAAAAAAAATTGGGAGTTTATTTGAGTTTGAGAATTATGAGAACTGGCTTATGAGTACTATCTAACTCAGAACTTTGAAGAATACTGAAATATTTCCTTAAATAGTGTTACACATAAGCCACTTTAAAATTGGACAGTACAAAATACATAAATTAATACTTATATGTAAAATGATAAATAAAACTGACAATCATAGAAATTATTTTCACAAAATATAAAATGAAATTATGATTTATTTTTTATTTAAAAATGTGTGGGCTATATGCGTACTCTCTAACATTAGTGGTTTCTGTTCAAATTTATTTTTTTCTAGTGGTAGTAAACTTAGTACAAATAAAATGTAAAAATTTTTTTTGTCATAATTAAAGAACATGATAAATTACAGGAAGAAATCAGGATATATTTGGAACAGTAAACAACTACTACTTTCAAAAAAGGCAAACGACAAGTTGAAAAAAATAAAAAGCAAAACTTGTTTTACTTTTGCATAAAATTAAAATAAGTTGCATAAAATTTTTTAGCAAAAGAAAAATAACATGTACTATTTTGTTTAGAAGAAATTTTTTTTACAACTTTATTGATGAGCACTAAAGTGCAATTTAGTGAACCATTAGTCAACATACTATTTAAGAATGCTATGATATAATTACCACACTGCTTGATGGAATCAATCATTCTTAAAATCAGATGAAAAGAAGTGTGAATAATTATGAAATAATAAAAACATACTCGACAAGATTTGTTACTGCATTTACTGTAAATGACAAAGAAAGTGTAGGAGCCCCGAATATATCACCATAAAAATTTGATAATGTAAAATAGTTAATTTAGTTTTCCTTTCAATAGAATGACAGAATTCTCAAAAAGTTTGAAAAATATTGAGTCCTGCAGGAAACGCTATTTATCAGAAGCATGCATATAATCAGTGGATAGTGGCAAAATTTGAAGTATTGAAATTTTGCGATGTTTATCAGTATTATTAATTAAAAAGATATTGAATAGAAAATATAAATCTTTCGATTATTCAAGTCGATCATTTTAAAATTAGCATTTTTATTCATTGAAAATAACATGTCACCATACAAAAATTAGCAGGGGTCTGTCGAGGTTTTTCTAAAAGGTACCTATTTTGTTAAAATTTAGACATAATTTGTGAAAAATTAAAAATTATATTAAAAAATCAATACAAAAACATGGTAAAAATATAGATTTATCGTTTCTTAAGAGATACAAAAATAAAATTTTAAGAAAAAGTATTTTGTGAAACTGCCGTTTTTCCTAAAGTTGAATTTGTGAAACTACCGTTTTACCTAAAATTGAATTTGTGAAGGTACCGCTAAACGGTATTAAATTCGGCCTGGAAAGACCCCTGATTAGGAACATCAGGACAAATGATTAAAAATCATTACAAAATAGTGTGCACTAAGAAAAATCAGGACAATTACAAACCCTGAACTTTGTCTACCTGACCTTTGATATACATCTTTAAATTATATATATGAAGTAGTATGAGAAGTGGACAAAATTCTTTTAATTCTAATTAATTTAAATATTAATACACTTTCTTTTATCACTAGGGTAAGCAATAACTGAAACTACTGAAGATTCTGTAGTAGTTAAGATAGTATGTCTTGAGACACAAAATTTGACATTTTTCAAATATGCTGCAGCTTTTTCAAAGGAAACATTTAAAAATTTAGTCATCATATTAACATTTGGTCAGGTAAAAATATGCAAATTGTTTTAAAATTCAATATTCAATAATAAGAAAAATGAAAGAGGCTTACAAAGGCTGGTCCAGCACCACTAACACCAGTCACTGCATCCATAAGTTTTTCTTCTGCTTCCTCAGTAAAGCCGATTCCAGAAAATATTTTTCGCGCTAATTCAGCATCACCTTTTCGTGTATGCTTCCCACAGGAAAACACAGTCACTCCAGCCAAAACAACAGCTGCTGTATTTGGTGTGCATCTGATCACACGAGACATTGGAGGAAGAATCTAGAAAAGGCAACAAAATTTATACGTGGTAGGATATTCATTGATTTGTCTGTTACTTACTATATAAATCAAAATAGAAAGAAAACATTACTATATTTTAATAATAATTTAAAAAGTTAGAAACACAAATCAAGCAAAAAACAAAAAAATTTCTAAAGATATGTATGTTAGCAAAACAGCGCTTCATCAGGGGGCACACTGTCTGCCAACACACAGAAGCCTTTCTGTTTTCAGTGACATCAGAATAAGGCAAAATTACACTACAGAAAGGCTTCTGTGTGTTGGCAGACAGTGTGCCCCCTGATGAAGTGCTGTTTTGCCAACATACATCTCTTTAAAATTTCTTCATTTTTTGGTTGATTTGTGTTTCTAACTTTCTAAATTATTAAAATAAGATAAATTTGGTTTTAGCTGCTTTTAGCGCTTTATCCATTTTGACTTATTATTTTAAATGTCATTTTCTTATTTTGTCTTTTTCTGAATTTGTGTAAATCAGTTTCATTCCCTGATTAGATATATTTACTAATATTACTCTATATTTTAAGAAGCCACAAAACTTATTTATATATCATAGTACTGAAAGAAAACACAAATAATTAAGATCAAAAGGAAAAAACTTCTTTGAAAAAAACGCGCTAAAAAGCAGCAGAAATTTCAGAAAAAAGTATCAATACAAAACAAATGAAATAAAACAAAAATACGACCACCGAAGCCGACGTCTTCAGGGGGTACCGGCCCCGGTAGCCATTAAAAACAAAACCATTTCTATTTGAGGGAGAAGCAAAAGCTTAAAATATCTCCCTCAGTACCCCGATGGTTTTGTATAGAGGTCCAGGAAAAACAAGATACATTCAAAAGAATAAACAAATTACGAAAAGAAAATCAATAAAAATCATCAGAAAATTAAAAACTCACAGTCACAGGT